GCGGCGCGGCGCGGGCAGCTAAGGGACGGCGGGGAGGAAGGACCCCGGCGTGAGGGGAGGCGGCCGGCCGGGAGCACCGGGACACTCCGGGACACTCCGGGACACACCGGGAGGGGCCGCACCGCAGCTCTGCCTCCGCCCGGAGCACCGGGACACGCCGGGAGGGTCACACCGGGCCCCGCGACGCCGAGTCCCCCGGCTCGCAGCGGCGGCGGCACCGGGCCGCAGGGCTGCCCCGGCCGGGCATGGCCGGCAGCGGCCCGGGAAGGCCGGCGGAGGTGGGTGGGTGTGTGGGACGGGGCTCTCGGTGCCCTGTTTCCGTGGGGTTTGCTCTGGGTGTTGCTGAGGGGGATTCGGGGCGGGAGGCACGGCGGTCACGGGGCTCCGTCCCGGGCACGGACACAGCCTGTCAGGGGAGCCACGAGGTGCAGGAGGGACCCCAAACCCGGCCGTGCGCCGCCCCACACCCCCCGGCTTTGCAGCCCCTCAGGGAGGGGAGGAGCCCAGCGCTGGGAGGTGTGAATGTGAGCGGGCAGGACAGGTGAGATACCCAGGGACATGTCCGAGAGAGGGATCTGCGGGACCGGGGCTCGATGGGGACACTGTCCGAGTCACGGGGGCACTCGCAGGTCCCCTGGGTGCACTCTGTGCCGGGGGGAGCGCGCCTGAGGCAGCTCATCCCGGGGGGTTTGGGGTGCAGGGTCCTGCCCGGGAGGGATTTGGGGTCTGGGGTCCCAGCCCGAGGGGGATTTGGGGTTCAGGGTCCTGTCCTGGAGGGATTTGGGGTGCAGGGTCCCAGCTCAGGGGGATTTGGGGTGCAGGGTCCTGCCTGGGGGGTGCACTCTGTGCCGGGGGGAGCACGCCTGAGGCAGCTCATCCCGAGGGGATTTGGGGTTTGGGGTCCTGCCCGAGGGGGATTTGGGGTGCAGGGTCCCAGCCCAGGGGGGGTTTGGGGTGCAGGGTCCTGCCCGGGGGGTTTGGGGTGCAGGGTCCTGTTCTGGAGGGATTTGGGGTCTGGGGTCCCAGCCCGAGGGGGATTTGGGGTTCAGGGTCCTGTCCTGGAGGGATTTGGGGTGCAGGGTCCCAGCTCAGGGGGATTTGGGGTGCAGGGTCCTGCCTGGGGGGATTTGGGGTGCAGAGTCCCAGCCCGGGGGGATTTGGGGTGCAGAGTCCCAGCTCAGGGGGTTTGGGGTGCAGGATCCCAGCTGAGGGGGGATTTGGGGTGCAGGGTCCCATCTCAGCCCGGCGTGGTTGTGTGGTGAGGAGCAGAGACCCCAAACCCTCCCTAAAGTGCCCCAAAGCCCTCAGGGAGGGCTCTGGTGCCCCAGGGCTGTGCAGGTGTCCCCGAGCCAGACAGACGGACGGATCTGGGAATGACAGAGATGTGAACCAGAGCTGTTCACCAGCCAGTGCTCTGGTGCACGGTGCAGCCAGAGCTGCAGGGGGAATGCGGGGGGAAGGCTGCCCTTTCCTGCTGGAGGCGTTTCCCAGCCCTGCTGCTGGTGGCTGTGTGACAGAGCACAGGGTGACCCTCACCCCGGCTGTGTGGCTCAGCTGCAGCAGGGATCCCACAGGAGGGGAAACGTCAGGAGATGCTGCTGCTAAAATTTGGGAAGGGCCTTCCCCTCTGCCAGGCCTGGCCAGCTCTGCAGGAGCTCTCAGTGCTGCCCCTTGGTTGCTCCTTTCCTGCTCTGCCACAGCCTCAGCTCCCTCAGAGCATGTGGAGCTTTGGGGTGGAGGAGTCGGGCTGCTTCCAGCACTATTCACCCCAAAATCAGCGTGACCCCCTGCTGCATTTCCCAGTGGGGCTTTGCAGGCAGGCGTGGCTGGAGCTGTCCAGCCCTGGCAGGCAGAGCCTCCTGCTGTGCTGGCTCAGGGTTCCACAGCCCTTTTGGGGAGGCCCTGTCTGTGCTCTCACACATTCACCGTGGGCATTGGCACCAGCCAGCTGCCACGGCCCTGTGGTGTTACTGGGGGTGAGCTGCCTCCCTGGGCGTTCCTCCAATCCAGAATCAGCTCCTGGTGCTGCTCAGCTCTGCTCCTTGTGCTGGCACGGGCTCTGGTTCAGCCCAGGCTGCCCCCAGCAGCAGACACTCCCTGGTTGTACTGTGCTGCCTCAGCAGCTGACAAATGTTTCTGACTTCTGTGCACAAACCGTGACATTGTAAACATTTTTAAAAACCAGGAAATAGTGCCAGATACTGAAAACTACAGAGACAGTGCGAACATTACAATCATATAAAAGTGGTCTGAGTAAGCTGATGCTGCTTTTCCATTAGTTTTTAATTCTTTAGGTTGGGTGTGTGTTTCGTTGAGTTCTCAGCTGTTTCTGATCTGCCAGTTTGCTGCAGAATACTCCTGGCACAATGATGCAGCTTTCTTTTTTTCACGCAGAAGAATCACAGAACCCCAGACCAGTTGCAGTTGGAAGCACCAAACACTGTGTCATCAGTCCCTTTGGGAAAGAAGGAAAACTGGATGATTTAAAACCAGCTGTTGAGCCAGAACAGAGCCTGAGCTAGTGGAGGCAGTGGGCACTACACATAAAGCCCTCACTGCAGAAATGATTGCTCCTGTTTCTGTGGTGCCAGCTGTGACAGTGCTCCACTGCCAGAAACTCTTGAGAGAAAACTATCATTACAGATGATTTTCTTCCTCTCTCTTTGCCAGTGCCACGGCAGGGACACCTTCCAGTGCTGCGGGCTGCTCCCGGCGTGGGCTGGGGCAGTGCCAGGGGCAGAAATGCCCGTTTCGCAGGGCTGGCTGTGCCACCCCGCGCTCTGTGTCCCCGCAGGTGGCGGAGTGGCCGGCACTGCCCTTGGATGCCTTCTGTGGGAGCAGGGGGCTGCCGAGGGGCAGAGCCCGCGGGCAGCAGCAGCAGCAGAGAGCGCCGAGCCCCGCCGCAGAGAGGAGCAGAGCCCCAGCCCCTGCCAGGAAGAGGAGCAAGCCGGGAGCCGCGGAGCCGCCCTGCGCCGCGCCCGCCCGCGGCCAGGCCCGCGAGGAGCTGCCCTGGGTGGAGAGATACCGGCCTGAGAGCCAGGTGGGAGAGTGCTGCAGGGCCAGCACTCGCACACGGCCCCCCTGCCCTCGCCTGTCCCCTCAGTGACGCAGCACAGGGCGTCTGGGTCGCTGCTGAGCTCTCCGTGCTGCTGCATGGGTGCCTGCCTGAGGGGGACTGGGGGTGCAGGGCCCCATCGTAGCCAGACCCTGGCTGCAGCAGCTCTGAGCTCTCCCAGAGCCTCCTCCTGCAGTCCCACAGCCAGCAGCTGTGCCGTGCTCGGGGCTGCTGTGACACAGCCCCTTCCCTGGCCAGGTCCCCCATGCTGACACAGAACACACACACACTTCCTGAGCAGGGAAAGCTGCTCAGGACCTGCTGCCTTCTGTCAGTCCACCTGTGAACTCCCAAACCTGGTACTGAATTCCAGACACGTCTGATGTTCCAGGCACTGGGGAAACCAGTGTGGGATTTGCACAAGTTACAACACCTCTGCAGTATTACAGCAAAAACAGTAAAAATTACTAGCTCCAGCAAGAGCCATGAAGTATCCTGACACAAGACTGTAGTGTTACCACTTCAAGAATAATGAATAGCGCAACATTTCCTGACTGCAAAGAATGGAAAACTCATTGTTTAAAGGAAACAGCATGATCATCCTTAACTGTAGCATTGTTCTGGGGAGCACACATGTAACTGGAACACACACCAACGTGTCTGTTGATGTTTTATCCAGCATCCCATTTAATTTCATCATTAGAAACCACGAGGTTCATATATATGTAACTTTCACATATTTTAACCGTGTTTCAGAATGACCTTGCTGTGCAAAAGAAGAAAATTGAGGAAGTTGAAACCTGGTTAAAAACACGCATATTTCAGAGGCAGCCAAAGCAGGTAAACTTGATAAAGTCTGTAGCTGGAAGCATCAAACCATACAAACGAGCTGGATTTAATTTCAATTTCAGAGAGAAACCTCAACTAAGAGAGATAGTGACTGTGTATCTTGTGCATTGTAAGAAGTACTCTAAGAACATAGGTCAGAGCTTTTACATTTATGTTGGGCTTGTGCTCCTAAGAGGTGGATTCTGATTTTGCTCAGAAATACTGTTTTCTGGCATCCAGATGTGAATCACAGCTCCTCAGCATGTGCTTGAAGCTGCATTTCATTTCTGCCAGGTTCATTTTTAAGTCTCGTGACAAATTTGCAGTTGCACTGAGCTGGTGTGAGGCTGGTGAGGATGTTTCCAATCTCGATTGATCAGAGGCATTCTTAGACACAAATTGCCAGCCTTGCCTAGCGTTTTCCAGAGCTAATTCTTCTGGTGACTGTCTGTTGTGCTGGCAGTCACATGCAGTTTATTCAGCAGAGGCATTAGGAACTGAGCAAGGCTCTCAGAGTCCTGGTTCTCTCTGTCTGAGCACTCAGCAGGTGAATTACCAGCACAGAATGTGTGACTGGGCTTTCCCTGGGAGAGAGGATCATCACCAGAGAAACTGCAGGAGAAGTTCAACCAATATTCATCCCTAGCCAGCTGTCAGTCTTTATTTATCACATCTGTGATTGTGTTTTGTGTCTCTGTGTCAGGGTGGCTCTGTCTTGCTGCTGACTGGCCCTCCTGGCTGTGGAAAAACTGCAACTCTGCAAATTCTAGCCAGAGACCTTGGCCTTCAGGTGCAAGAATGGACCAATCCACTCTCTTTAGACTTTACAAAGGAAGAGTTGAGGAACATCTTTGGCCATGGTAAGTGTGTTGGGGTTTTTTCTTTTTTTCTTTTCCCTTCCAGTTACTTTTGTGGGTGTTCTATCTTGTATTTTTGCTTTGTTTCTGTCTGTCATGTATGACATCAGATCCACATCCATGTAAGTGCATTCCTTAGTGTTTAATGAGAATCTTTCTGTGGCTTTTATCTGGAAGGGGATTTAGGTTTTTTTAGTGTTTAGTCCAAAATAATTGACAATTCAAATCAGTACAGAGAGCTCTGTAATAGCCTGGATATAATCTGAACCAAATAAATGACAACAGGTAAGTGTCTTTGTCTGGGTCCTCAGTTGAATGACACCCCTTTAAAAATTCGCCTGTGCTTGTCACATGTTTGCCAAAGGGCTTGTTCAGTGCAGCTGTCACAAAATAACACGGGTGGGTATTAGTTGGTGTGGGTATTTATATTTTACTTGGTATAATATAGAATACATATTTTTAATTAGTTTTCTTTTTCAGACTCAAATTTTCATACGTTTCCGAGTC